GCTGTAAACACCTCGCCTTTACTAATGACTTTCGCCTTATAAGTTGGCGATTCTCACATGGATGGCAAGCCTGTATAGGTCGACGAGTTCCGAGGTCACTAGTACTCCTTAGGGATGTTACAGTTCTTAGGCTATTTCATTATGCCGTACCGTAAATTTCTGTTCTCAGCTTTGGAACCGCGTAGTAAAAATTCTATTCTTGCTGGTACTGTCAGATCGACTTTAGGTATTATTTCGAAAACAGATCTAATTCCTTCATGTTTAATTCTGAACAGGATTATGTTCTCAAAGGCAGAATCCAGATCGTTATTTTTAAAATCCAAGAAAAAATTATATTTACTTAGAAAGTCTAATCCAAGTATGCAAGGTTATGTAATATCTGTATTTGCTACATACGCCGTGTGATGGAAGGCAGTACTTCCAAACGTCACGTTAACGTTTAATTTTCCTTCGATGTCGATTTTATCCAAGAACATAATTTAAAGAGTAACTAAAGGCAGCGTCCAGAGAAGTTTACCTTCAAAATGATGAACCAAATATTTTCGGATTATGATAACGTTTGCTGCTGCATCGATGGTCATACTGCAAGAAACTCCGTTGATATGTCCCATACTGAATAGCCTCCACTCATTGCGTAAATCAGAAGCTCTTTAAAATAGGACTTCTTAGTATCTGGCAACATCCGCTCCGTGAGATGACCACTCTGTAACTGATTAGTTGTTCAACAGCAGAAACTCTTTCTTCGATTTATAGTTTGAGAACAGAAATTCTTGCTCCGACTTTTTGTTCGATCTGAAACTCGTTATCCAGTTTGTTGTTCGGCTGCAGAAATTCGTTCTGCAGTTTCTCAGACATTGTTTTCAACCGTGTCTATTCTGCCTTCCATAACTTCAAACTTGTTTTCTATTGGGGCCTTAAATTCTTTTTTTTTTCTTTCTTCTTGACCTGCTTCGATCTTTTCTGGAACTGAATTGAGTGCTACGTCCATCTTTTCTTGGTCCGATGTTATCTTCTCTTGGCTACTTTCATCACTCCTTTAAGAACATTTCTCTTCTTAACGGATGCTTGGCCCGCTTTCATCTCTTCGGAATATCATATCGGAATTTACGGTCCCTACAATCTTCTCTTGGAATCCTGCAAGGGTTGTCCCCAGATGCCTTAGTTGCTCGTCCAGCACTCCAGTCACCTACATTCAATCCAATTTCTGGCACCAAAAATTGTTGCGAGCTTACGGACTCATAATCGATTGAATGCACACAGAACCGATGATAGCTTGATAAAATTTATTTTCACAAAAGAAACACTTTACATTTCTAGAATTCGCAAATGTAGTCGTATAGCTCTTCTCAATATGACAGAGGACAATCAGTAATTACCACTTGAAACTACTGAGAACGTTAAACAGAAATAGAGCGCAAAGCAAAGCACAAGTAAACAAAGCAAAGCACAAGTAAGCTCGCGAGGAATTTTAATTTTGAATTAAAAATTTACAACTGACTTTCTCTTCGGGCTTATATCATTTATCCCCGACCACTGAGACATCTCTAGTAGCCTCCATTTCTCGAAATTACTGGAAGACAGAGGGATCGATTTCAATACCAAATACACAGAGACCGGACCAAAATGTTGCCAAACAGTCACTACGTCTGGGAAATTTTTGTCGATTTCTCGCCCGACGTTAAGTAGACTTGCCTTTGTAAAATACTTTTTCCTTCAGAGTTTCAATTTTACAAGTATTTTATACTGCATCATACAATAAAATCATATAATTAAACTAAAATTATTTACATATATATATATATAAAATTCGTAAGAGTATTTATAATTGATCAGTTTATCTTGCTATAAACATATTGTACATATTTCTTTTCCATTCGGCATGTTTTTCAGAAATCTGCCAATTTGTGTGAGTAACCAATCTGAAGCATTTGAATGGATGAAATTTTATGTATATACTTTACAGATCGAGATTTTCAAATAACTTCTGTAGAGCCTAAAGAGTCTCTCAAAATATGATGCATGTGTTAACAAACAAGATTATTTAGCGAAATAATATGAAATATGGCGACTTTTGAAGTTTGTCTTACTCTTGACTCTTTATGATTGGTAACAATAGAAATTTTCAGAAAAGAAGATTGCATGGAGTATTGAATGAAATACTTCATATCTTTCGAACCTTAGTTTGGTGATAGGCCTTAAGATTTTTAGAATCAGTCTTAGCCCATTTTCAAACTGATGTACTTTATGCCCCATGTACTCGTATTATATTTTGCAAAAGAATTTACAAAATCTGTTCCTGTGAGATTGTGGACTAGCCTACTAAATCTTCAATGATACTCATGCTTCTTATATTGTATAATCCTGCAACTATCTTTAATACTTATTCTTTGACTGTATTGAATATAATCCTTTCAGAACTTTGTTCAAATATTTCTGACTACCAGTCTGCTTAAGAGATCGTGCATGTACATTGCGAAAAAAAAAGTTGGAGGACAGTTCCTATATTTCCCGTTATACTGGGCCGATTGACGAAATTCAAATTGCGTTTTTCATGCCTCGAAAGCGCGACTTCGGATATATATTAGATTTATATATATCATCACTCTAACATAGGTATCTTGACACAAAATCGGACTTTTTCTGAATTGACATGCCATTCGTTTTCCATATATCGATTCTGCGACTCAAATAATGCCAGACTACCAAGTTTTGTAAAAATCGCACGAGTAGTTTCTAAAAAAATAACTCTCAAAGTTTTAGCTCCTCAATGTTAATTGAATTTGGTATATATGTATTAATATCTCATTTTTTATTTAAAAATTTTTATTCTTCCTTTCACATTTCGAAATTTAGGTTCATTCCAAATAAAATTCACCTATTTTTTATGATTTACATTTAAAATTTGTATTTTTAAATAATTTTTATAAATTTTTCGAAACATTTTGTATTATAACCTATAAAAGTTTCATCATCATCTTAAAGTAGGTGTATTCCTAAGCATACCTGCAAAAAATTAGACTTTTTTTATTCAAAATTGTGTAAGATATACACGAATTTACATATTTGCGCGGTTTGAAATTTGGCATCTTTTTTTGAGCGATAATAACGCCAAATGTGGTTTACGTATTTTGTTACAGTGGATTGCCATAGCTATTTTTAATCTTCAGTTTCAAACAAATTTTTACGGAAAATCAATTATATGAAATTTTTGCCTCAGTGATGCGCAATACATATTTATTGATACTATATGAAAAGCTATTTTTTCAATTACAGATGATATTATTCAAATTTTTAACTTTTTTTATTTTTATTTTTTCATTTATATTTTATTTATTTTTTAATGAATAAATAAATTTTTACCTTCGCCTTGTTATCGTCTGCTACTTTACTTTAACTTCATTTAAATTTAATTTTCTAAAACTGAGAGAAAGTTCATTTGATGTTTATTTTCACAGTGTTTCACAAACAGAACGTTAACAGTTTGGGTCATGTCCCAGCTTTAAAAAAAATATAAATTTTTACATTAAACCTCTTAAAAAGAATGTCTTAAGTAGTAATTTTCTCTCTTGTTGTAGACTATATAAAAACACATGTTCTTTAATATAGAAATTATTAGACTTAAAAACTCTAAATAATATGATTTAGATTGTTTGCACCCGATATAAGAATCGGGCTACTCAGTGGTACAGGATAAGCGCTGCTGGAGTGGTTTATTTCTTTCTCATTTAACAAAAGGCTTTTAATTTAAATAATTATCCTTTGCATTTTGCTTTAAACTTTATTTATAGTTAAAATGTCTAGAAAATGAAAAGGTATTTTGCAAAGGATATTTAAAGCATTTGACGCAAAGGATATTTTAAAAAATTTCAAAAGAATGCTAAATTTATAAAAGTTTAAAAATCGAAAATTTTTTTGTGTTTTTGTGCGTTGTAATTTTCTTGTGTCAGCACTAGAAACAAATGTAGAAGTAAAGAAGGAAATTAGGTTGAAAAAAGCAAAACTTTAAAGGGGAATCAACTTCAAGGCAGTTGGGTGCTCAAAAAGAAAACACTTGGACGTGCACACCAGCAAATAGCATCAATCGAGTTAGTACTAACGGAAAGGACAAAAATCATATCTTTGCACATTAAATTGAAAAGCGAATGGTTTTCGACTATATGGTTGTATAAATTTAAATTAAGTCATAGAACATCATATCGTATCATAAACGGAACATCCCATGATTTCTCAGTCGAATTATTTGAAGATTCAGGAATTTATCCAGTGACGTTATAAGATATAGTTCGACCGTTTTACCGGCGACCATGAGCGCAAACACGCATACGCCATTTGGACCGATTTATTCTCAAAATGGGGTGGGTGGAATCAAGTCGTAGGGATTTTTTCCGTTTTACTTTTTTTCCTGTTCATTTCCACAGCGTTCAAAGGGCACAGACATAAGAAGACAAAATCACTTTTAAGTAATCTAAGCTGATATGCTGATCATCATTTATTATTAGCTGTTTTAATAAATTATGTTTAATATTAAGCATTTATGTATATATTCTTAAAAATACAAGTGTTTTCTAAAATTAGTTTTGCATAACATTATTTTATAAAAAAACATAAGTAATTTTTTTTTATAATTATTCAATTATTACATTTTATTTATGATTTTTCATTATTATATTATTATTATAATGAATTCTAATAATTTAATTATTATAATAATTATATTGCAATAATAATTATAATTACGTTGTAATTGATAATTCGTTTATCTTTTTGATCTTCGAGCTACGATCTATCTGCATTATTACACACTGAAAAAAAATTCCTATTAATTAATTATGATTATACAGTGATAAATAATTAGTATATTTATTGAGTAATTATGGTAATTATAATAACTATATTATAATAAATAAATATTACATCACTTCGATTTTTGCGCTGAAAGCTACATGTAGTATTACATGTACTGGGGAGCTAAAAAACGAAATTTCTTACCTCAGTACTTATTATTCTGTATCACAGTCACTACACATATCCACGTTGTCTTCATCAGAGGAAATAATCAAAGATTCACTTAAATCTTTAATCAAACCATCTTTTTCCCAGTAGTCATTTTCTACATTTTCTACATGAGTGCAGTATTTCTTCCATTCTTCCATCGTTACGCTTTCAAGAGCTTCTTTTGTAATTATTAATAATTTATTCATTACCATGTCTCCAGTTGTGTTGCAGTTCCGAACAAATTGCTTTATTTCACCCCATACGAATTCAATTGCATTAATGTCGCAGTGGTATGGGGGTAGACGTAGAGCCGTAAAATCATGTTTTTCAAGCATTGAATCAAATTTATACGACTTTTCTTTAGGGGCATTTTGTTTCACAAGCTCCATTAACTCTACTTTCCGTAAAACTGGAGAGAACTGAACATTTTTGTTAAGTAACCAATGGCTAATTTCTTCTTTTCGGCTTGCCTTGGTTGGATATTTATTTACTTGAACAGTGTGGTAGGAGGCATTGTATAGAATCAGTACAGCATTTGGTGGAAGATTCGTAATGAGTTTTTCGGAAGTCCATTTTTCAAAAATCGTAGAATTCATTTGCCCGTGATAGTCCCCGGATGTGGTATTTTCTTTGTATACTAGAGACGTATCAGGTAAAATTCCCGTATCTCCTCCAGCATATAAAACAATAATTCTTTGCGATGCATTACCTCTCTGCACGACGCCCAAAACTGCTTGTGATTGCCACCACTTTGAAAATGTTATGTTGCAATCCACCCAAGTTTCGTCCAAGTAAATGAGAGGTCTTCTTTCACGACGTAATTGCCTCACTTTTCTAAGATACTGCGTTCTTTTTAACACAATGTCACTTCTTTCAATAAAAACTTTTCTCTTGTTTTGGCTTTTTTCAATACAAATTCAATACTATGCAGTACATTTCTTAATGTTTCTTTTTTCCATTTAAAATCAATCTTTTCTTGCAGCAAAGGAAGTAATTTTGAAAGTGATAGAATTTTTTTTTCCCTTAATATAAAATTCGTGAACAGTTCTTCGAATTACATCGCATTCAAAATCATCTAAATCCTGTTTAATACGTCTTTTGGGGGCCTTTTTTTTTCCGGGGGAATTAAAAACTGACTCTTCCTCCCTTTCTGCCTCTCGGCGAATTTTCTTTACTGTCGTCAGCGATACTCCTGCAATGCTGCTGGCTCTTTTCGTGGGCTGTGAGATGGGAATGCTAATTTCTCCATTCTCGGCTTTGATGTCACAAAATGAAATGACATTATGCAGCAATTTCTTAGTATCAAAGCTTTGTTTTTACCAACAGAACTCATTTTAACAATAAATCAAGCTATCCCTAACGCTTACACAAAAGATATGCAACAATGACAAATGTTAAGTAAACAATCAACCACGATCTAAATAAATCCCGCGTAAATGCGGTGAAAACATATTGATCGGTTTTTCTTTCTTTACGACAAAAAAGAATACATCCGCTAAAGAATATAGTTCCTTGATTTTAGTGACCTTATCTTTAAAAGTAAGCAATGAACTATGCATTGTTCATATAAAATTCATACATTAGGAAAAACATTTCAACATTCTAGGTTTCAGGGCTGCAAACCAATTTGAATATTAGCATTTATTTCTACAAATGTAAAAAAAGAAGAAAAAACTAAAGGCGCGAAAGACAACTGATGCAACGTCATCACCTGATGACATAAGGATTTTCCCTCCCTCGATCATATAAATTCCCTTTTACCGACGAAGAGAGAACTTTCACGTGACCTCTCACCTCGCAGCAATTAACTGACGCTCCTTTTGGACGATTCTATGTGTTTTGGCAAAATGCCAACAGAGGCTTCGCAACAGACGGTCGAACTATATTACTCCCGCCTTCTTAGAGTGCCTACATGGTGTAGTGGTCTACTCGCTCGGAGCATATTCGGGGCATTGTTCATTTTTCCTTTCCCCTGATTAAAAAAAAAAAAAAAGCTTATGTCTCTACAGTGGCGCCCGAGCTAAACGGAGGTGAATGCTGATTCTTCACTACCAAGATTTAGTTTGACCCTTTAAAAGGGGGGGGAGTAAAAAATGGTATTTCTCCCGCCTTCTTAGCATGCCTTCGTGGTGTAGTGGTCTGCACGCTCAGCGCGTAGTCGAGAGATCCGTGGTTCGATTCCCGGGGAGGGCATTGCTCATTTTTCAAATCTCCTGCTTCCAAAAAATCCTAATGTCTCTGAAACGTATATGGATATTATCTAAAGACGTTTTTCCTCTTGATGAATACAGTCTTTCCTTTCATCTGATACCTTTAAAATGCTTAGCCTCTAAAGACTGATAAACCCTCTAACCAAATACTGATGAAATGGATTGAATTAAATTATTAAGTTACGACAAAGCAGGGCTATCTGCCTAAAAGGAACAATGCCTTCGTGAAGAACTACTAAGGGAATCCAGCTGGCATACACGTTATACATGAGAAAAAACACGAAAACGCCCATAGAATAATATAGGGTAATAGGATTAAGATTTTCAGAATTTATGGTTTCACCGTTATCATCTTTCATTTACAATTCCTGATTTTACCAATAAATTAAACGGATATTAATTCTCAATCTGAAAGTATCAGATTATCACCTTAAAGAAAGTTAACTATTAAAAACATGTTTTAGTTTAAAAAATTAGGCAATATATAAAACCATATAAATACTTCGGTTTTATTCTCAAATAAAAATTGTATTATTTTTAATTCATAAAACTAAATTTTCTGGAAACTGGAAGCCTCGCAATACTTCTAAACAAACATATCCATCAATAAGGCTGTCCTCTTGAGCTAACCAGTGTGTTCTCTGCACTAGTGGACCAGGGTGCCTAGGCAGTTACTTGAAAAGGCCTCCGTTCCTCGCATTAAGGTAACTGGCCTTTGAGAACTGCACTAATACATTCCACAATAAAAAAAGTATAATAATAATAATAGAAAAAAACATTACACACACTCATGAAATGAGAGCCTCCAACATTATCTTACTTGAAGAGGGTGAAGGAAACAACTGTACAGAGGTAATTGCAGGCCTCTGCTTTAGAACCCAGAACTCCCTCGACATACACTATACTTAACATACAATCATCCATAAATTTAACATGCATTTACCATAATTTCAAATTACGTATCTCTAATAATTTCACTTATTTTTTACACCTACTTCATTTTTAGAATAATTATAAAATTCGTATTCAAAATTCTCAACAAAATTTCAAAAACATAAAAACTTATCTTAATATCCTTCCCTATGAATAATTTAAATAGCTTAAAATTAAGCGTTACTTAATTTTGCTCACACATAACTATGAAAAAAATTAGAAAAATTAATGAACAAGAATTTCAGATTTTCTCAAAACAAATTGCAGAAATTTTAACCAAAGTTGAAATGAAAACTATAGAATCCGCAGCATATTAAATAATTTAGTTCCTGAGCTAGATTCACACGAATGTATAATTTTTGAGCTGTTGAAAAAGTGTAAGTGCAAATAATTTTCTGTCGCACATACTTGCAAACACTAACTCAGATCGACCTTGAACCCGCTGTAATGCTTAATTCCTAAACGGTAATTCACTGATGATTTAAAGCACTTTTTTTTTCTAAATATTGTAGAGATCGGCAAAACAAATTCGATATTCCTTTTCACTAGGCATTCGAACTTCTCAATTTATCGAGAGATTACTTTCAATCTGTAAACACTACACGAGATCATTTTTTGAAGCACTTGCAAAACACCACAGCAGAAGAATGATCTGTTATTTTTTAAACACTGAAAAAACAAATTTGATGATTCACTTCTTTCACATTATCTTGGATATATCACAAAACGATGATTTGAAGAGCTGAACTAAATTTTCCATTGAAGTTTTCAGGCTGCAGGAAACTATCCTACCGGCTTAATTGTCATAATAAGAGCAAAACAAGGAAAAGCCGGAGCAGAACACTGTAGATGCGTCATTAGATCCATATTGAAGACGAAATTTGATTGCGTAGTATTTAAAGAACTTGGCAGTCGAGGCAGTTTTAATTCCATTTTATTTCCAATTGATATTTGTGGCCACAATCACTTGGCACTCTAGTCGTGCCTTTCCACAGAAGATTTACATTTTTGATATTGTTGGGATAGAAAGCAAGCCAGCGAAATTACATCTTAGCACAGTAGAGAGCAAAAGCTGAAGTGCGTCGTTATGAAAGATGGAAGCACGCGAAGAGAAAAGTTTTGGTTTACAATTCGGTGATTAATTGTCAAGAGGCATCTGGTATTAACGGTTACGTAAGATCGCATGATTAATTTGAATGACGTAATGCAGATAAGTTATTACGATTTTAGAATAGAGAGGAAGAATTTATGTTTATAGTTATATTATAATTCTGATTCATACATTTTTTATCTTACATATATATATATATATAGAGAGAGAGAGAGAGTTATTTAAATATATATATATAAATTCTCAACGAACGTCTGTATAACTCGCAGCCATTATGATTTCTGTTGCATAAATTTGCTTTTTTTCCCTTTCAATTATTATGTATACTTTCTTTCTACTATTCTATAAATTTATAACTGGCAAATATTCTTGTTTTTACTAAAAAAATGGGGCTTTTTAGTTTCAAAGACGTGTTGTACCCTGACTGCGTGAAGACTGTTATCTTTTATAACATATATTTTTCCTTTTTCTCAACTTTGAGCCAGTACTACTTTCATGTTTTAAGATTTTACAGAAAAGAACATCTTGTAGAAGTTTCTTAACGCCGCCATTTTGGAGTCGACGATCATCCTTCCCCGCGGTAATAGTTTTTACGACCCCGCCTAACGTTTAGCACCCCCCCCTCCACACAAAGTTTAACAGGACATCATTTTTGAACACATGTTTAAATACTTAATTCTGCTATTGGACACTTTGAACCTTATTGCATAACCTTATTTCCAAGAAGTGCTCCGCTGCCTGCTAGGTGTTCAAACTGACCTTTTCCAAGAACTACCATTTTCTACTTCTCTACAGCAACTATGAATTCTACAAGAAACACAGTTTGGTCATCTGAAGAATTAAGTGAATTTTCGTTTGATGTTCGTCATATGATTTCAGTAAGTTAGCGTTTTTTCAATTTGTTTCTAATAGCTTTTCTGTTTTTGCCGAAATAGGCTCCAATTTGATTTTATTATTTAAAGCAATCTCTATAAAAAGTTTATCGTTTCCTTGGAATTAAAAGTTTAGTCCCGCATAATCGGGAACCGCCCATTTTAGGAGTATTGTTTGAATGACCATTTGGTTTGAAGTATTGTATTTTTATATTTACATTTGATTTTCAATTTTGAATTTGCCTATAATGTTTTTAGACCAATTTTTTTTCGAATGTTCATTTTATATAATGTAAAGTTTTTTTTTTTTTTTTGTATAGTCAATTTGAATTAATGTTATGTTTTATCCAAGTGTTTCGAAAACGTAACGTATAGGGAAACTTCTGGTACATTTGACATTCGATTTTACGGTTTTATATGAACTTTAACGTCTTAATTGAAAATTTAATTGAATCTGTGTTTGGTTTATGATCTCAAATGAACCAGGAGAACGAAACACGTTTTCGAAACATATTAATCCACTTTTATAAAGCTTTAATTCATTTTCCCTGATGAGTTCGGAGTTTTAGTTTCAATAAAAGGAGATTAATTTTTATATTATTGTTTCGTATATTTTTTTCCCTTTTGCATTTTTAGTTTTCGAATCTGTACTACTTTGATTCTTTTTTTAATTTTGAATTGATTAGATATTGTGTTAAATCTCTTATACAAAGATGCAATTATTAATATTGTTGAGAAATTGCCTTGCTTTGACTCCAATTTACTTTTACTTTA